CTTGTCTGCTAACCTGAAAAAAATAAAATACGAGCCCTTATTCTTCTGTGTATGACATACTTATGAAGATACATAAAAAATACGGGGGGAAGAAGTTTGTCAAGTGTGATCTTTTTCGGTATACCTTCTCTTACGACCTTTATCATTGTGAGTTTTGAATAGTGTCTAGTAATAAAGTTAAAGCTAGCAAAAAATTTTCTCATGTTTCCTCTTGGAGAATAAGTCAGGTATTGTGACATCTTGTTTCAGCTTTTATACTCCTTTTCTTTTTTTATGTGTGGTTTGTTTGGTTGGGTTTCTCTCCTATAGCGTGAGAGAAGAGCAAGAATACACTCTGATTTTCCATTCTTGCTTTGACACTTGTAGCTGAAATAATAAGATAAAATAGTCTATGAGAAGCTGATTCAGAAACGTGCTTGTAATGGACAGTCCACTAGACCTGTATTGTGGAAAGTTTGCAAAACAGACTGCATGACTTCCGAGCCTTTATACCCAAAGTTATTTGGTCTTTAGGGCTCCTAATACATGTAGTCCTTCAAGTCCTACTTTCAGGTGTTTTAATTGATTTGAGTGATAGATTTTACTAAAGATACTGGAAATAAAATGCTTGGGTAACTCCTCAAAACTTTTCCAGTTTGGTAGAGAATCTTCTGCTATACATTTATTTTAAAAAATACTGGGAGAGAAAGCTCATTTCCTCGAAAAGAGCTAAGGGAGCCTTCAGCTGAGATCTTCTGAAGAAATTTGTTGTGCAGTGGTTCAGTGCTGGCCCACTTGGCTACATGTTATCCAGGAAAGAGGTCTGTTCTTAACCACTGAGGCACGTGTTAAAAACATCAGTGTTAGGCTTGGCTAGTCCTCCTGCTGCCCAAGTCTGAGTGTGGGTGCAGAGTTCCAGGACTGGCCATCATTTAGACAAGTCTGGTTAGTTCGGATAGCTCAAGCATTTGGAACACTAAATGCTAGCTACTCCTTAATGATTTATGAAGTTCAAGTTAAAGGAAGTATATATGAAAGCTGAAATGCTTTATAGTTATATTTTTAAATATAATTAATATGAAAAGAAGATGTCAAAAATAATGCTATGATAATCTCTTGTGTATCACTAAACTGCGATAATTGCTAGAGTATTTTAATTTGTCCAATTAAGTTCATAGTCCTTACTAATGGATCCATTAGCTTTTTTAAAAACACCACACGTTGATCTCATGGAAAAATCAAATAGTCAATATAGGAAGCATGGTTGCTTCAAACTCTAGTTGCTTTCCCAGAAGATTTACTGGCAGGCTCCAGTCAGAGGCCTAATTCTACATTAAGAATCATTCTGGTTTTTATATTTTTATATTTTTACTGTTACTAAACTGAAAAGACTCTTTCAGAAATACATGCTATTGAACTGTGCAGTGAAATTCAAAGTTTTATCAATCTAAGTTCTGTTTTTAACTTGCTGGTTTTTGTTATGTCAAATATGACTTTCATGTCGCTAGTTTTTACATACTTCCTTTTTCTTTACTGCAAAACCCTTTGGCAGAGAGTGGACTTCTCTCATAAATGGATCTATGATCCAGTTTTTGTTTGTTAGTGGTGAAAAAGGTGTTTTGATTGGGGGTTATTTTGGTTTGGGGTTTTATTTGGGTTTTTTTTTATTAAATTTGATGGCTCAAATTCAGTGAGCGTACTTTTATGTTAGCTTTGAGATCAAAGTGAATTTTCACTTCAGTTGCAGCAAGAATTATTTTTAAAGTTTGCCAGAGATGGCAATTTTCTTCTTCCTGTGCTATATGCTACAGTTCACAATGCTTTTGTTTTGTCAAGAACATTTGAAAAGCATAACTTTCATGCACTGCAAACCAATGTCGGATTCATTTAGATATGCCAGCCAGTTGATTGAGTTAGCTATGGCTCTTGACAGCCACAATACAGGCTTAAAACAGGTGTTTAGAACTAAAATCACTGTGGAAAACCTGTATTGCAGAACAGGGCTCAAGAAGAGCTTGAGCTTTCTCCATGATTGAGTCTTTGGTTGCTTCTGACTTTATCTCATAGAAGTGAAAGTTTCCTTGAGTTGAGTTTCATTGAGTCAATGCATCTGTTTTAGTAAAACTGATCAGTGTTGTGACCAATCAGATGTGCATTTTGATGTGTTTAGTGTTTTGCACTCAGTAGAGCTAGAGTTTGAATTCAAGTAGAGAACAGGCTCGTGCGCTTTAACCCTTCATCTCCTAAATTTGACCTCTAGAGATGAAGTTTTTAACAGTTCTGGAACAATTAATCATTAGCTGTCACTTCTGATTCAGAAATTACCTGTGTCATCAAAATTAGTCATAGCTTTGCTTTACGTTGTCTCTGTGCTCTCTGTTACTGAATATAAGAAATTCTGTAGGTTTTTGTAGGAGGAGACCTCTGATGTCTTCACACTAATGCTGGAGGGACTAAGGACTGTTTCCTTCTGTCTACAGTCCATAGATTTTCTTTTACTCTGAATTGTGAAAGAATTTATTTAAGAAATTGCAATTGGACAGACAGTGTCAAAGCTTCGAGAACTCCTGCAGGAAAGTTGCCAATAGATACTGGAATCTCTTGGGCTGCCTTCTGGAGGTTTAATACTTTCTTTTTTTTTTTCCCTCCATGTGTGTGTTGGGGAAATTTTCAGTTGGAGGGCAGGGGGATTGGATTTAGAGAGCAGGTTCAACTCAAGGATGAAGGATTTGCCACTCTGTTTAGACAGATTTGGCACCAGGATATTTTTTCACTCCTGAGAAGTTCTAAGCACCTCAGCTATTGCTCTGTGTGGCATTGAATGTGTTTTAATTCCAAAATCTTCTAATTTCTAAGAAGCTGCTCTTCTGTGTAAGAATTGCCTGTATTTTTCTAGTTTTACAACTGAGCTTTTATCCACTGTATAAATAAATCTTCAACCACCCCCTACACACTTCAGCCATAGGTCACCCACCACACATCCATGGTTTCTGCTAGCTTGCTCTATGCAGCAAGTGACACAGGTGAGTGGCTCTTTTGGATGGGTCCCCTACACAGGAAAGTGTTTCTGGTGGCAATAGATTCTCCATTTATTTTGAACTTGCTAGTTAGCATGAGTTCATCGGGAGGGGCCCTAGCAGTGAGGAATGGACCTTCACAGGTTTGCCTTAGTACCTTGAGCTGTTCAGCTTGCTGCATGCTGAAGGTTACCCCCAGCAGAAGGCAATCCAGACAGCTGTGTGCCAGATGACTGCACAGCACCCAACTGCAGACAGCCATCTCACATGAGAACTATTCAATAAAATACTGTGCTGCTGGCACTTTCTTTAGCTGAAAGCATCAGAGGAATGTGAGAGGTGCTGGTGGCTTCTTTTTCCTTTAGTTTTTTGAGCAATCCGGTGTTTAAAACAACTTTCTGAAGATAAAAAACATTTCTAAAGTAAAGGGGTTTGCACAGACTGATTTCCAGAAAATATGGGAAAAATATTTTTAGTAATACTTTCCTTATTTGGAGCTTACACTGAAAAAATGATGGGAGCATCACTCCTTAGGATAGCCCCAATATGATTACAAAACAATTCTGAGAGTGATGTGATAAAGTGCTATTCAATATATGAAATTTCCTTTAAAAATGTGCTTTGTTTCCTTAACGCTCTAATATTTCTGCTATCTAAATGTATTTGCTGTCTTACCTCAGAAGAAACTGCCTGTGATTTCCAAGGGAGTTTTGCCTAAGGTAGGGCTTGAAACATCAGGACCAGGAATTAGTGTAATGTGACCCACCATTTGTATTGCTTTGGGGTAAATTTGAGAGAGAAGATTTAACATTGTGTGTGTCATGCTGAGATATTGCAATATCTCGGATGGGTTATTAGGCACCATTCCAAAGGTTAAGTGCAGCAACCACATGAGATGTGGCTTTATCCTTACATGATCTGTGCCCATGTTCTGTTTTGTAGTCCTCTGAAATAGGTAATATCCCTAGAATAAAACATGTTTATAAGATTTTTTCGAAGCCTATCCCAAGCTATTAAATGTCATTTCAGTAGAAAGGTGTTTGCTCACATCATTTGAAATCTAGAAATCAGTCCTTGTGTTTGTGAACTGACGTTTTAAATGTGCATCCCAATGTGCACCAGATAAATATTCACGACCTTTGGGAAAGTTTAGATCTGAATTTGCAGTTCAAGATCTTTTCTAATTTATATGCATATATCTTTTTGGGGTTTTATTTTCCATGCTCTTTTTGCTTGGCTTGCATTAAATAAAATGCTTCAATGGAGTGTGGTAGTCTAGCATTTGTTTTGCCTCAGGAGTGGATTGCCCCATCTTGCATATCTGGTCAAGTAAATTGCTCTCTTGCCTGCATACTTCAATAATAGTACTGGGCTTTAGACCTTTCTGTACAACCCCCCAGTGAGCAGAACCACAAGGGGCTAGGCCTGTGTGGTGCTAGCAGTCTACTCTATTGTAATGGATGCATTCATCTCCTATTTACATAAATTAATAGTTAAAACTTGTTTGGTTGCTTAAGAAAACTCATTAAGCTTTCAGAGTAGCTGTATCACGAGCACTGTGGCAATCGCTCCCATTGACTTATCTCCTGCTGATTCACTGGGAACCAGTCCATCTCGGGGTCAGGTCCCTAAGCTTCATTGCAGAATTAAACAAATAGCATTTAAAAGAAAATGCAAATAATATGTTCAGTGCAAAGTGAATGTTGGTAAGCTTCTTTATGAAAAAGGGGCCATATTTAAAATTTTTAAAAATAAAATCCTATTTTTGTCTGCTGGGCCAATTTTCTCTCAGGAAATAGATCATGCTTTTTATCCATTTTCTACTAGTCACTGGACAATGCTTGACATTGTAAGAGGTCAGTTTGTATAACTTGAAGTGGGAGGAGAATGTTTAATGTGAAAAACTTGTTATTATTATTGGAATTTTCTGCGTTACCCTTTTAATTTATCCTTTTCACTATATGATTTTTATTTTCTTTATTACCTATTTGGTTTTTTTTATAGATTGGAGAAAGAAAACATTCAGCACAGCATTAGCAATGAAGCAAAGGCCCGAGCCCTTCAGGCCCAGCAAAGAGAGCAGGAGCTGACACAGAAGATGCAGCAAATGGAGGCCCAGCATGAGAAAACTGGTAGGTGGTAGGGAAAGATTAGAGCCTGGGCACTCACTCACAAGCCAGGCCCACGCCTTACTGTGAAATGACATCAGGAACACCTGTAACCTTTGGCTGGCCGAAGGGAGCAGATGCTAACTACACCGGAGATTCCGAATTACATATTAGTTAGCGTTTAAAAGAGAAAATGGAAAGTATTGCCCACTGTCTGTTGATTTCAGAGTGCTGCTCTCACATCTGCTGCACCATCTGGATTATGAGTTTATTTACCTGTGTTCAAGAAACGTAAAGCTGAGAGAGACCACAACAAAGTAGAAAAACAAAGGGCTTGTTTTTGGCTGGATTTTCAGGCACACATGTTATATAAAGAAAATAGCATCAGAAGCTCTGCGGGAAATGCTCTGAGCTTACAGTTAAAGTCTCCTGAATAGCATTGAACAGTTCCCACAGTACACACATTATAGCTACTCTAAAAGCTTAATGAGTTTGCTTCGGCATCCAAACTGGAGAAAAGCTTTAGCCATTAATCGGTTCTTAATTCACTGTCGCAGCTGGATGTAATTCACTGGCTCCAAATTGATATGTTCCTTTATTTAATCTTTGCAGCCTCAAACATTTTTAGCATTACCATGTGCCCCCCCCCCCACATCCTCAATCTAGAAGAAAGATGTTTAATCCCTTGCATACTTCAGCTTCTCATAATAGGAGACTTCATTGCATTGACTTAGCCCATCAATAACATCTAACTTTAATCTGGAAGTAAAATGGGTTTTCCAAACAAACAAAAAAGAGCTTTTTGTATTATGAAGTACTATGCCAACAACATTAATAGAGGTGCATATTATAAATAAAAAAATTTTTAAAAAGGCATTTTTAAGAGTTGAGGTCTGGGACCCATGAGCATGGAAAGGAGGAGGAGCTTCAGCTGTTAAAGAGCATGGCATACTCATGTGTTTAACAAAATACCATATTTACCCATCAGTCATGCAATACTTTCATGAAAACTGTATAACGTATATTAATTATAAGGAGTGTGGGTAATACGTAAGATAGCAGGCATGTTTACATCTGCTATTCAATTTTCCATCCTTTTTTAGTAGTATCACAGTACTAGAGGACCTTTCCATGTGTTCAGGGAATGCAAACAGCTATGTTATGGCTGCTGTCTACACTGTAGGAGAAGAAAAGAAGCTCTTAGAATTATTTTTTCCTCCTTTAGCCAGCACATCTGCAAATGACCATGCATAGTTTTGCACAAGAGAAATGCAGTTTACCCTCCTGGTTCATAAGTTGTCCCAGTATGCAAAAATGAAACAATATTATGTCTGGGTCTGTTTTTATATATCTCTAGTAGGATTAGAAGGAGTTGAAAATTATAGCCATTTATAATGCATATAAAGAAAACCTTGTTTATTTTGACCCTACACACATACAAGGATTTTGGGTAAGAGTGGTCATACTTTCACTGATTTTAAAAGTAGAAATCAAGAAACATCATTTTGCAGTATCTTGCTTTTGAAAGAATAAAGATTACCTGGATGCTAGGTCATGAGTTTAGGTGCAGTCCAAACTGATAGTAAGTGAAAATTACTTTATAAAATGGTTTCATTTCAACTATCACTGGGCAGTAAGTCTAAATTCTATCATTTAAGAATAAAAAATTACATTATTCACGGTAAGCTCAGGACACAGTAAATAATAGAACTGCTGTTTTAAGGAGATACTGAAATGAGTTTACAGTGTGAGCATTTGGGTTGCTGCTGTATCCTGTGCACCAGTTGAGCAAGCAAAAGTCTGCTAAAGCGTGGCTTGCCAATTTTGTTCCTCCTAGAAATGTCAGTGAACTTCTAGCTGAAAAGCAAGCCCACCAGATTAAATATCTAGTCTTCACAGAGATTCTTCTCTTACAAGACCAGATACGGTGGCAACATTGCTTTAACACTTTAGCTAATTCTGACATAGAGCCTTAATTTGGTAAGTGATGATGTCCAAGTAACTGAAGTTCAAAAAACATTTCAAAATTAGAATGAACTAGAAGAAAGAAATTAATATATAGAATTGTTTCTGTGTTAGCTATAAATTTATTTAATTTTAATTATATAGTATCATAATTTTGTTGTTTTTAGTAGAAGAACTGGATTCTTTGCTGACCTCCCAGAATACATTCATAGCAAAATTAAAGGAAGAATGTTTTGTGTTGGCAAGGAAGTTGGAACAAATGTCAGAAAAATACAGGTTCGTATATTTTTCTTAACCTGACCCTTTTATTACTAGGATATGCTTCTTTATTTTTTATTTGTATTTTAATATGTATTATTTTTCATTTTGTCCCAGGTATTACATATCATATCAATGTAATATATGCCCCTTAAGAATTCAGTATAATATATGCTCCTTAAGATCATGTTTCTGACTATTAAATCTAATTTTTTGGACAATTCCAACGTAAACGTTGCATAGTGTTTTCTTCCTTGTGTTCATATTCTTAATATGGAGAGTAGAAAATTGTTTAAAAAGCTACAATTCAAGTTTATCTGAAGTTATATTAAAAATGCTGAAGATTCAATGTAAAAACTGGTGTCATAATTATTGAGCTCTTTTCACAGTTCTGCATTACACACTGAATATTATCTATAAAATGTCATCAAAATTGCTTGTCGTTGATGCTCTGATTCTGCTGCTTCTTGTTATCAATCAATAGCAGATCTAAGTTCAAAGCCTTAAAAACTGAGGAAGAGAGCAAAACCTGGAAGTAATCATAATTTAAAGAAATACAAAGCTATGGAGGTATCTATTCAAAAGTTCTGTAAGAGAAATATCTTCTAAAGAAAATGTGAACTTTGTAGTTCTTAGCAGCAAATAATTTGATTTTACATTTTAAAGTGTGAAAATAGCATCTGTTGAAACTTTTTTTGGGTTCATATTTAGAGTGGTAAACTGGACTTCAGTGGAGTGTTGACATTCTGTAGCTTCTGTAAATTACATGCAAAGTAAATTTGGTAATTAAGGCTAGTATTCATCTCATGGCTGATGGGAAGTAAGGAAAACACTCAGCAAAGATGAAATTAGTTTTCTAGACAGGATTCTTCTTCTGCTGGGTGGATTTAATAATCCTCTTGGGGTAATGTAAAAGAGGCAACACTCACTCAGGGAGAGAGCTCATTTACCCCAGTACCCTCTTCCTAGGAATGGTCAAAGGGAAATGATTTAAGTAGATGACAGACATATATATATATATATATATATATATATATAATGTCTGTAATAAATAAAATACATGATGCTTCCCACGGGTACTGCCTCCACTGCCCATCCTACTTCCCACTGAATAAAAGTGTTGACTAGCTGTTAAGTGGCTGAAGTTGGGAGATGAATCCCATCCAGAGTGTTTGGGGAAGAAATGAGAAACTTGAGGGACTGTAAGCAATCTTCCCCTGCAAATGCTGTGAGGGGCACTTGAGAGAGAAGCAAACAGAATTTTTCCTCTGAAAAAGTAGAGCTCTTCTGCTAAAGTAATGCAAAATCCAAATGGATTCAAACCATGTTATTATTCCAGCAATAAAAAAGCACACAGACTTTGTTGCTAGAGCTCACAGTCGCAGACTAGTAACTGTAAAGGATGAAGGAAAGACAGAAAACATACTGTGAAAACACATTATTCTCTGAAAATAAATACTAGACATTGCCAAGTGTTTCTCCACCTAGCAGCATTAGCTGACTATGTCAAGGACCTGAAAATGGGAAAAGGAGCCCTCTTGTATCTCCAGGAAGTGGTATTTTTTACACAAGAAACTTCCTTACTTATGTAAGGAAGAATGCTTGAAAGTGGTTCTGAGAAGTGGTCCTAAAATAGCTTGAGCTTGTCTTCATTGGAGTGGGAGCTGCTGCAGTCAGTGACAGGGATAGAGAAATAGGTAGAGACAAAAAAGAAGAAGGTAAAAATGAGAACAGCAAGGTGGAACTGGAGATGGTGGAAAATGAAAGACTGATATAGATGGCTTCACAAAGTGATGTGGTCAGGAGATGAGATGCAGAAAATTATTTTAGTCAAGTTCTAAATGCATGATCGGCATGTATGTCTCAGTAGCATCTCTCCAAATGGCAATCTTCAGCTCATTGTCACTGAATGCAGTGTCAAACCACATTCTGGGACAGAATACTGTAGTTTTGTCTTCTGGAAAAAAGCAACAATTTGGAGAAGATTTTATGATTTAGTTCCTATGTACATTAATAAAAGTAGATTCCAAAGCAACAGTGTGCTCTATTTTCACAGAAAATATTTCTCCATATTTTTGACCTTACCATAAACTGAATTTTGGACCTGGATGTGTATATTCTTGATGTACTTCTAGGATCTTTGTGCCTTAATTTCCATGGGTTTAAGAAATAACTGTGTGCTACCAATACCATTATTTAATTGGTGGAACCCTCAAGCTCTTTTAATAACAGATGCAGTGGTATGTTTATTTAAATTTTATTTGGTTTGATAAGAAGTACCCATTTGTAATAAGAGACATTTCAAATGTATCTGTGACGACTATATATTTCTACAATTTCAGTGGAATGCATGTGAATGGCACATGTATTTTTGTATTTAATGCAGGTTTTCTGAGAAATCAAAACTGAAGTTTTTGTGTTTATATGTGAGCTGGAACCATTTTTTGAGCTAGTCCCTACACAGAAAGGCGTCAGAAAGACAATGTCAGACGAATTATAAACCCCTCAAGCTGTGCAGAAAGAAGATAGTGTCTGTGAAGGTTTTCGTATGCATAGGCATGTTTAAAAATATAGTCCTTTGTTGATTTCTTCTCTGTTTCTCTCTTGTTTTGTTCTTTTTTCTCCCTCTGATTGTCACTGTCTGAGTTTCTAGGTTGTAGATTAATGCTTAACACTACCCACTGTGTATTTGTGATTTGCGTTTTGTAATTAAGGGGAACAATGGGAGTCCATTGGGTCTCGTTATATATAATGGTTGGTTTAATTTGTTTCACTTCTATCTTGTTAATTGTAAATTGATCATTAAGATTTGAATTCTAATCTGTCACCAGGGTTGTGAGTATTGAAGCTAGAGCAATGATCCTGGTTTTAATCACTGATGATGAGAAACAAATTTTATAATTTTGGTACATATTGCAGTTCATATATTTTAACACTGTATTTTATGGTGTTATAAATATTGTTAAATGACTTTTAGTGTAGTTTTACTGTTTGGACTATAATGTATAAATTATATTACTGGTTTGGCAACAGTAGGCATCCAACTGTGTGAGTTTAATTGAAGTAAAGAACACATACCCGGCTGAACTATTTTTCTGCATGTTTGGTTGACTGCAGTCGTTGCACTCAATAGTGAAATGTTTGTTGAAGGTAGCTGTATGAAGATGGGGAACAGTCTGTCTGAAGGTTAAGTCATTAAAATTACATGCAACGATACTGCATCAGCAGAAAATATTTTAGAGCATGTATTTGATTTCCGTGCAAGTAAACAATTGGTTTTAAGAGCAGGAAAAGGCAGTGTTCAAAAACCACTGAAATGCAAAACCTAGTTCAGAGGAGTAAAGGCAGCATTGCCATCTTAGTGTTCAAAAATCAGCTCTAAGATTGACTTTGAATTATGACAATTTAACATTTCCTCATTTTTTTTGCCTTTAGTATTTAAGTGTTTTGGAGGCTAACCTCTGGGGTTTTTCCCAAGACTCTTACAGCAAAGATGGTAGATAAAACCATAAAGTGATCTTTAAATTGAAGTTGAAGTAGTCAAATGGATCCAGAAGTATAGAGGGGCTTTTGTTGCTTTTGTTGCTTCTGCCCCCATCAGTTATTTTTGATATAGTGGCAAGTAAATGAGATTTGGCAAAATCTATTATGCATCTGATTACAAGCATGCATTTTACATTTTCATGTGATGTTGTAGCTCTGCTCTGTGCAGTTTCAAAATTACAGTGATTTCATACAGGTCATTTGAGTGTATCAGGTCTCAGAAGCACACACAGATCCGTGACTGCCTGACTTTTGAGGCCAGCCCGAGTCTGCAGAAGTGCCCCTTCCTGCTGAGTTCAGCTCCAGTGGCAGCATTCCAAATGCCTGCATGCTTCAGTTTCTACTGAGTCCACCACAGCTTATTGCTCTGACTGTTGGACCCAGAGTAGCTCTGGTGGAGCAACATCAGCACATCCATGCTGTGTCCTTTAGTTGCGCAGGATCCATCAGACACGGTGATTAGTGCCTAGATTTCTCTAATTTGCCTCTGTCCCTGGCATTATGAGTGAACTCAAAATGAAACTCTGAAGTGAATCCCTGAATCTCTGTGGAAGCACTGTGTGCTTTCACATTTACCCCTCTCTCTTTTCCTGCTGTGATACCTTGGGAGCAGAGTAGTTCAGAAGCATTTTACACGGGACTGGTCCAGCCTCTGGCTGGGTGGAATTCCTACTCCTGTATAAATGTGCTATAGCATTCAGTACAGTTCTAGGCTTAGTACAATTACGGTTGGTTTGGGGTTTTTTTTCATCCAACAATGTGTGAAGTTACTTAAATATCACATAGAATTAGTTGTCTTATCTTCATCTTTGGAAATTGAGGTGGATGAAAGGTGTGCTTAAAGATGCAGAGGGAATCATTGACAAGTGATGGTGGAAAACTCTTGGTATGCAGTATTGTATTGGACTGGTGATCTCCCTTTAATGCCAACACGCATGAACTTTTTAGTATGGACCTAACGGTTCTGTCCTTCATATATGCTATCCTTCAAAACTTCAATGTCATTAAATACAATAAATCTTGGTGGTCAGACCCTTAGATAGTTACATGAAAATGATATTGTGCAAATAATGTAATAATTAGATTTTTTTTCCTGTGTTTAACTGTAATTACAAAAGATGTTTTATGAGAAGACAGCGTTCATAAAGTGCTTCAAAGCATCAGGCATTTAGAGCTCTAGTTTAGAGATTAAAAATTATGCTACTCATGTTTTTAATTAATTCATTACTTACTTTTGTTTCATTAATTGTAATTTTCAGTAGCATTTTGGTTTATTTGAATTACTTGATCTTTCCAGAATGAGTTTGGGCACCTTCAAATGTGATGGAGATGAATAAATCCTTTTAAAACTGCAAGGCTTTTATTACCTTGAAAGTTGCTTCTGCTGTTTCCATGAATGAGATAGTCACATATAAATGCAGAAAAAGAAGCAGGATTTCCCAGTTGGGACACCCTACAAATGTGATAATTTACAGTATTCCTACATGGCAAATGCTGTTGCTGAATTTTGCTGGCAAAAAAGGAACACAGAATTGAATTTAGTCCATGTTATCACTTGATTGGGCTTTGTTGTGTCAGGTCTCTTTGAGCTGCTCTGCAGTGAACCTTTGCTTTTATCCACTGGTTGTCTGTCTTACAGTATCAGTATCAAGTACAGACTGCATTCATATTGTGAAATAACAGTTGGTCCAGCTGGCAATGCTTTGTTAATGCTGACATTTAAGTTACTAGTATTTCTGTAAAATGATCAGTGGAAAAACTCAGTTTCTGTTACCTTCTTATAACATCCTGCCCACTATTATGTACCCATCCAGGAAACTCATGTGCACTGAAGTTTGATGTACAAATCTATCAGTAAAATTCTGATATATTTGTCTGTGATCTTCCTTAATAGAGCTGTAACTCTCAATCTAAATTCAATTATATACAGTCTCGGTCCAAAGTTTCCTTTGCTATGTTCTTTTAGATTCACAGATGATACCATGCATTGTTCTCTATTTAAACATGAAAAGATCATGTTGTCATTTCTAGATTTGACTTGTCAGTGTAACAACATGTTTTTGAAGGAGAAGTATTCCTTCCTCCCTGCACTTTGTTGTATTTTTCAGAATGTCAGTTGTTGTTGCATTCTGTAGCAGGCAGGAAGGTAAAGTATCTTTCTGCTGTAATTGCAGCATATTTAAGTTTATGATTTAAAGATATATCTGAAGCTTTTTAACCTTGAGATATGGAGTGGCAGATGCCATAAATCAAATTTGCTTGCTTTTGATTCGTACTTTCTGATGGTATAGCAGATTCTGACATGTTCTCATTAACCTTTTCCAAAGAGTTAAAATTGTACAAGTGCATAATGTATATTTTATCACAATTTAATCTGAGGTCTTATCCTGATATTAAGAAACAGCTCATGCCTGTTTCTCCATGGGCTGATGGTTAGAGATGTAGCAAGTAGCAGTCCCAGGTCATTCATGGATCTGGTGTGTCTGCTCACCCGTGAAGAATAAGATTTGCTTAGAAGTGACTAATATTCTTAAAGGCTGTGCTGAGTTTTATGTAGATTAGTGTGTGCCTGTATAATTTGTCCCTTGTTTCTTAAAGTTTTGTTAATTTTCCTCTTAGGGAGGCTTTGGGTTTTTGATTGCATGTGGGTATTTTTTCTAGGGGAGGGGTTTATGGGGATTTTTGTTGTTGTTTTTTTTTTTTAATCTGTGCGATGTTATTTTAGACATAGGAGGTTACTAAAGTTTCTAAAACAGTACCACTATTGAGAGTTCAACCTGTGAACTGTTGAGAGTTCAGCCTATAAAGCCGAGTAAAGTTTGAACAAGGTTTTAGTAGCTGTTTTTTAAATTAAATGTGGCTTTTGCTAATAAAGAAGTTGAAATGTGTTTTCAAAATGTTAGCCAAATTCCTGCTTAACAAGTATGAATTTACATTTATTAATCTTATTTAACATCAATGCATAATGCCAAATGGCATGCCTATTTAAATTAGGCTGAAATTAGCGTAGCCAACCTATAACTGAGTAATTGCCAGTGGCATATTTAGAAGATACCACCAGTATCGTGTTCTTTTGTCTTAAGGTTATCTGAAACAGCGTTTTGTTTCTGTAAGTTCTAGTAATAGCTTGTTTATGCATTACATATAAATGTATGAAATTTTATAAATGCTGAAGCCACATATTGATGGCACACTGCAAGATGAAATCTGACAACATCCATCATCGCTTTGTTTTACTTCTGTAGATCTGAAGTCAACCAGCTTAGTCAGGAAAAAGACTATCTTCATGGCAGATTGGAGAAGATGCAGAAACGGAATGATGAATTGGACCAACAATGTATCCAGCATGGGAGAATGCATGAGAGAATGAAGTCAAGGTAGGAGGTGCTGTTAATCTGTCAGTATGTGATATGCTCTACTGTACCAGTCGTGTTGTGTACACATAAAAATGACATGAGGTTGTGTGAAAGTAATATTCTTTCCTTATGAAATGACCGCTCCTTTCCCCTCCCCAGCCATTCTGTCAAGTTGTTTTTTTAACATCTTTGCTTGTGCCATTTTGGATAAATAAAAGGAAAGCTTGAACAACATAGTCTTCCAAAGAATTTAAACCTAGTACATATGTGTGTGGGCTGCTTCGGCTGTTCTGTACTGTAACTTGTATGAATAGTCTTACCATATTAAAAAAAAAAAAAAAAAATAAAGGCGGGGGGAGCTGGGGAGGAAGGAGGAAGGAAGTTATTCAGTGATGTGAATGTAGAGTACAGATGTGTGTTCCATTATGCCATGTAATAGTTGCATTTTTGGGGTTTACCATCATTTAACTTGTATAAATCTTACTGAAAATCATAGTAACCAGAGAAATACTGACAATTTTCAGGCACCACTAGCCTTTCAGAGAAGCAGTGACTTCCTCAGGATGAGCTGGGAGCAGCTGCAGCAAGACTAATATGAAATATTTCCACCAATATCAATTGACTGTTCTGGCCAGAATATCCAGACTGATAATGGCTTGTGCTGTGATATGGATTAGACTTCCTTAAAGATCTCTGTGGAGTCTTTTCCATTTGGTATGAGAAAGTTCATCTATGCTTTCTTGTTCTCTTTTCCACTCCACATTAAGTGTAACAGGCACTGGAGGGAATTTTGACACGCTTGTGGTAGCAGAGGATGAAGTAAAGAGGAAGTTGAGAGACAACTCTGCAAATCCAGTCATCCAGGCTACCTCTTGTCAGTAGTCAAAGGCAAGATGCAGTTTAACTTTATTTGGACTTGACAGCCCTTACTGGGAAAAGTTCTGTTTACTTTTTTTGTCATTGACCACCTGAGAGGAGCAGAGCTTGCATGTATTAAAGCAGCCAGTCCTGGAGGCTCTTTTCTTTAAAGTATTGATTTTTAATTTTTTTTTTCCTAGCATTTCTTTATTCTGTCTGTCTATAATCTTTCTTGCAAGCACTTCATGTGTTCATTTCAGTCATCCAGAACAACGTCTTTCCTTTTCCCTTTCAGATTTCTAACTGTACCTCATCCTGTTTTTCTGTAACCTTGGATTGTCATCATCATTTATAGCTCAGAGAACAAAGAAATTTAAAATGCTGCAACTGCATCCCTAATCTGTGTAACCACACAATCTTTCCATTTATTTCACCTCCCTTTTGATTTCTTTAGTTATGGTGGATTCTTGCCATATGTAGGATTCGAGGTCACTTTCAGGAGTCAATTTTTTCCCCCCTCTTTTTCCTCCTAGCTGCTCTTCTGTAGAATTTTGAGTATTTAGTAGAATTTAAAAGTGCTTTTCAAGTTTTTAGGGTAACCTTTCCCCTATCTATTTTTATTAAAAAAATAGATCTACTGGAAAATGTTGCTCATTCTCTGCTGCAGCAGCAATGATTATACACTAGAAAAGACTGAAAGCATTAATCCAGAACACAAAAGTGGTTTGAAAGCAGAGTGGTCATGCTGCAGGCAATGCCTTACCTTCTGCTGCTGTTTTGCAGACAAGAGAGAAAACAGAGCAGTAATAGCATTTGTCTTATTTAATATTTTAGAATATGTAAATATGGCAGAGATTGTCAGGTGTTCTAACCATGAACGATATACTTTACTAGCATTTTAGAAGATGGCTCTTTTAACATATTTTTAATTGTCGTCTTGCACTCTATTAATTTAAAATCCAACTAATAAGTGACAAGACTGATACTCTAAACTGCTTTAGAAAATCAGTGTAATCTAATTTTAATTTCCATGTGAAAGCTGTAGTAGATTTTCAGGATAAATTCCTAAATGCTGTAAATTGGTCATGAAGTTTACAAATCTAAGTGAAGAAAAGCAGAAGGAATAACTACTCAAACAAATAAATCTCCCAGTTCCTTATATTTATGCTAAAGGAGTTCCACTAAATAAAAATAGTAATTTTTCTCTTCTGATTTTGAAAATAGAGATCTGACTATACTATTTAGTAAAAGCAGAACAACAAATAATAATAATGCATTTTGCCTCAGATTTTCATCCATAACTTAGATACTAATAATCACAACAAAATACTGTTGAGGATGGTTACTTCTTAATACATTTGTTTCTCCTTTGTATACAGCTACAAATAGCTGTGGTCTTCTTGCAACATAGTCCCACAAAGTGCATTCTGACCTAATTTTCTAGCTGCTGTTATTCTGATCTTCAGAAAATTTCTTGTATTAAAATGATTTTGGCTAAACTTGGAACCTAACATTTGCATTTTATTAATGAGGTATTGTGATATTTGTTTGAGAAGAAATCACTGTCCGTACTTGTTTAATCCAGGGACAGTATGACAGGCCCCAATATAGCTGTTTTGTGGAAGAAGTAACACCTAATTGATTAGTCAGAATTTCTTTTGAAACAAAAGTGTTTTGGCAATCATAACAGTTGCTCTCCTGAAAATGAACAAGATAAGTGTTTTAGTGCCATTCCTATGTCTCTGTGAATATGTGTTGCAAATGAATATAGTCCAAAATTAAATAAGCTAATTTCTAAGAAAGAGATTACTTTATGTTGCAGTCATTAAATAGGATATGGAATCAGTCTTTTCAATGTAATGGAAATATCCAGCCTTTTCAGTGTGGTTTGAAATATGAAAGTGAAATATGGCATTAAAAGAAGTAGATATCCATCTTAAATGATGCAGTTGTCACATGCTACTGAGGCAAACTTGAATTGAGAGATGTACAATTTGCAGGACTAAGGTGCCATGTTAAGAGTCCAAGTGGAGTTGGTCATCATGTGTAACTTCATGAAATGTGTAACTTCAAGAAATTCTTGTCTGTTATGTAGCACAGTCCATTTTTATAAATTTTCAACCTCAAAGCAAATTGTCTTATGGAATTTTTCAAATTCCTATTCTGTAGATTTGTGTTCATAGTAGAAATTAGCAGAGAGCAGAAAGTACAGAATTTCTTATAAGGCAACAGTAAAGGTAGAAACTAGCCAAGAATAAAAAGAATATCTAGCAAAACTAAAAGGTTTCTATATTTTGGGAGTTTTTTCGGTGTTCAACTCTACATAATTTGTATAGATTCCAGATGAAGGAAAATTCAAAGCCAAATGAATTGGTTAACTATATGCATAGAATTGCTTCATTCTTTCCTTAATCTGTTTTCAAACTGAATTCCCAGATATGCATTTTCAGCTCTGTAGTTAGACCTGTAAATGCAGATCCACTTTCTCACAAGCCCTTTCCACTTCCAATTTGAAGACTAAGAAGAAAAAGACAAGAACCTGCCTAGATCTGTTATTATTTGAATATATTTGTGAATATATTATTTGCCCAAGCTGCCATGGGTCAGGATTTCATCAGGCTGTTTAAGCTTTCACTGAACCTAATTGATAACTCTTATAGTTACAAAGTTCAATTATGGCTTTACTTTTCTGCATCTGTTCTTCTCATAAAACAAGCATTTGATTGTAACTCAGCTATTTAGAGGATTGTTTCTGTGGACAGCCAGTGTCCAAAATGGGAGGAGGCATTTAATGAAATATAGCTTAGCTCTTTTCTATGTACATTTCCTGTTGAAGACCCAGGCAATATGTGGAAATACAGCAAACATGGAATTGTATCTTCAAGCAGGAGAAGAAAATCCTAGGCAATTTCTTTCTTTTTTTCAAGATGAGCCAGACATGCCTTTACTTTTTATCAAGCAGTTAAAGAAAAAAAAAAAAGCATTTGGACAGTAGTTTATATGAAATATAAGGGTCTTTTAAAATCTTTTTAATCAAATACAAATTTAGAAGCTTCTAATGAGTTTCTTTCCAAACATTTTTCCAAAGTTCAGCATATGGAATTTGAGGCTATAAGTTTTCTCTCAGACCTTGCGGTTATGGTTCATATTACTGTAATTTTTGCTGTAATGTGTGATTAATATCCAATCTGTATAACATTAACAATAATAATATATTTTATGCAAATTTATGTGTGGTTTTTTGTTGTGGTAGCTTTTTGGAGGTGACACTGTTAGACGTATTTTGGCTATATTTTTGCTAGCTAAAGTTAAAAAGAAGAGCCTACAGGACTGGCAGTTTGGGGCAGATGTGTGTCTATTCCTTAGGCATCAGTGGTTGTAAGTTAACTATAAAAATGTTACAACCATCTGTGTAACAAGACGGCAGAGATCTGCTCTCGCCTGTTACTATAAATAAGAAGGAGATTTGTTTGACTTCATAGACATTGGATTTATAAAGACTCTATGTGTCAAATTGTAACTACGTGCCATGTTGCTGAGATGTGTCTGCAGCCAACTACCTGGGGTGTCTTCCCCTTCAGACATTCTAGTGTAGTGCAGCAACTGTGCAGAAATGTCTGTATAGCACAACATGTGACAAATGATATTTGTTTTCTACCTATGGCAAAATGTATGATTCTTATGGATAAGCTTATCTGGAAGGGTAGCTGAAATGGATCTTTAAACAGACCACTTGAGTGAAATGGGGTACTCAGTTTGACAAACATTTTAAAGGTTTTTTTTCCACCATTAAATTTATTTTTTTGTTACTAAGTAGTAGTGCGTGAGAGATCATGTATGCTTGAGAGAACACATATCTATCTATGAGAATTGAGACATATCTAGAGAGAATACACCAGCATTTTCAAATATCTGCTATGTAAAATCACAATACCTAGTTTGCTGTCGCGTTGCTGAATAGAGATTTGGAATTTCTTAGCAAATCTTCAGTAGAACAACTAATTAAAATTATTTCTTGATAACTGGAGCAATCAAATTGCATTTGAAATTTTACATTTTCTCCCTAAAACCCTAGTACTTTTATGTGTGCATGTGTGTTTGCAAGAAATAATGATGGGTGGAAGAACTTAGGTTTTGTCATTACCTGAAAGACCTTTATTTTTGTCCAGTTCATTCTCAGTTAAATACATTGTCTTCCTTATTCTACTGATAGATTAGTAGATTTTTTTAAAGTGACAGTGAGGTAATTGTTCCTATATTTTATTAGACCAATCATCTGTTTTTCAATGCAATCATAGGTTAAAAATGCACTATATTGTGGCTTTTTTAGTTTAAAATGCATACATTTTTAAATTGAAAGTAGAGATTAACATACATAGTGTCCATAGAACCTTTGATATTAAAGATATACTCACTTTGTCTCAATGTCTAAAGAGCAGTGTGCTGCACTTTTTCCTGAGCATCATTACTCATGCCCACATATCTCTGGTGTCGTTTTGCTGTAATAGGATGGCTATTGTAGAATTGTTTGTGCAGCCCTTCATGCAAGGAGCTTGTAAAAAGCTTTTTGGTCACCATGTGTCAGCACTGCAGTGCAGACAGATTAAACTCTCAGCTCTGTCCAGACTTTGGAGCTGTCACTATTTTTTATTTTTTTTCTATCTAATAGACTCATATTTTAAATTGACAAATGTATACTCCACAGAATTGCTATTAGGAAATAATGAATGGTTGATATGTGTACACGTACATATATAAGTTGCAAATCCTGTCAGAGTCTGAATGTGTATTTGGCTTTTGTTTAATACTAGGGTGTTTGCTCACAGTTTAAATTCTCTGGAACAGAAATTTCATGTTCAGAATCTCTCCCTCCCTATTCCTCTGCCGTTCACCATTTGTCTTATTACTATATATCTTTTTAACCATTTTTGTCCCTTTCTCAGTTTAAGTAGATGTCTATAAATAGTGCGGTATAAATGCATCTATTATTTATGTTTTTATATGTGTAATATTCCCATTCAAAATAGTTAATGAATTATGTACGTTTTTAAGACCCCAAATACTGTTTTTAAAGATTTATTCCCCAACTGCCAAACAGTAGACACACAAAGCAAAAATTTCTTAGTTTTTAGAAAAATTGAAGAAGTATACAAAGAGTGAAGTACAAGATTTTCATAAAATGCTGCAAAATTGTGTGCAAATAAGTTCTCAGCCTTAAGAAGCAAAGAAGTAGAGAGTAATATCCTACCCAATTTCCAGAGAGATATTTAGGGAACTTAATAATGTTCTGTAAGACATATTGTAGGTCACAGAGTACTGTGTTCATCTGTTTCTAAGTGTGTGTATCTAAAATGTATGTGCCTGTATATATAGTTTATACACACATATTTCTTTGCGAATGTATTGAGCTCCTCTGTAGGTCCCGCCATTCCAATTTGGACAACTGTTTCCACTGATCTTTTCATTGGGATCCTTCTTATTTTTGTTCTAAATTAATTTCTGTTTCATTTGTACCTGCTTGTCTTTGAGACAAGACTCGGACAAGTAGTTCTTCAAAACAATCTGCACTGGTAATGCCAATAATTGTAGACAATAGATGTATCTATTCAGTCCCACTTCTGGTTATAAGTAAAGCCTTCCTCCTTTGTTCTTCTTTTTGCAATAAGCTCTTCATCACGTAGGTGTTCTGATTCTTGATCTTTTTTTAAATATGGGCAGTCAAAACTGTCTTGGGTCTTGGATGGGGACATTGGAATATACTTGTATATATAGAACTGATAAATTTACTAGAAATTCCTTGACTGATGAATCCTACAGTCATGTTTGCCTTTTTGATAGCTGCTCTAAGAAGTGCATCCAGGACCTCTTTCTCCCAAGCAAATTCAAGTTTGAAGCAGAGACTTTAGCTATGAACTGAGAACGCATTGAGTATATAGTGTAAGGCTTTTATCCTGTGTCTGCTGTTTCAATTTTCTGAGTCA